ACTACTCCAAGTAAATTAATTTTGTAAATGAAATTTCTCCACTTGAAAGGGAAAAGCTATGTAATAAAAGAAAGGCCCTGGCTACTAGTGTAAAAATGGTATTGCAGTGTTTTACTAAGTGGAAACAGGAAAAGAGCATGAACATGAATGAGAAAGCCGGAGGAAACTGCCCTTTCCATGTTTTGGGAGCTTATTGTTCTGAGTAGAGGAAGGCTGAACTGGAAGTCCCCCCACTCAGCACTCTGTTTGCAGATAGAGGTACACATAGCTAAGAAAAAGCACCTGTCCTCTGTGTTCCAGCGAAGTGTGGCTTCAGCTTTTTGTTTAAGTAAATGTGCTTGGTGTTTTCACCCTCTTAGGAGCCTTTTCTGTTGCACAGAAGGCTCGTTACACCACTGAAGAAAGTAACCTGCATGTTTTTTTCCCCTCTCTACAGACTAGCGTGGTTAACTATATTGACCAGAGAACTAAACCAAGAAGTGACCAGCTGTTTTTTGTGGTATTCGAATGGAAAGATCCTTTCATACAGACTGTTCAAGATGTGAGTAACACTAATCCCTTTTTTGAATCGTTGTCTGACTGTACGTGCTCATGGTTTGTGTGCGCATGCATGCCTCTTGCCTCACTCCAAGCAGAAATTCAGAGGAAGAGTGAGGTTACTTCTGAAATTTCAGTCTAGGCTCTTCCTTATATCCAATAATGCATGTTCTGCCGAGGTCAGGACCATCTGATGCCTTTCCCTTAGCTGGGTGACACTCAGCACTCTGTTTGCAGATAGAGGTACACATAGCTAAGAAAAAGCACCTGTCCTCTGTGTTCCAGCGAAGTGTGGCTTCAGCTTTTTGTTTAAGTAAACCAGTTTAATGACTTTTTAATTAATTGACAACTAAGAAATCTAGGCTTAAATCACAATAGTAAAAACAACTAACTAGTGTATTTTTTATCCCTTATTTGAATAGCATTTGGTATTGCATTAAAATGCAGAAAAAGCACTTTAAAGTTTAGCTTAATATGCTGCAGTCACAGTTGCATGATGTGCCTGACATGACCGCTCAGTCACTGGAGTGCCCAAAAGGTGTGTGCTGTGGGTACATGCACTTTAAGCATGTGAGCTACATCTTGTTTTTGAGGGGAGATGGTCAGATACATTTGCCCTCCCCAGAAAAATGTAGAATGACAAAGTGTACAAAGACAATCTGTTTAAAATTTTGCATTTAAAGTGGCCCTGACAGCCAAAGTCCATCACCAGCAAAATCCATGGAGTCCTTATTTTCTTGCCCAAGATGCAGACTGTGTGACTGCAGACTGTGCAGGGCAGGAGTTGGTAGTTGGTCCTCTGCACTCCTGCTGTCATGTCTGTACGGGGGCCAGGCACCCTCCTTGGTGCAGGTGCCTCCTCAGCCTCAAGAGCCCAGTCCTGTTCCTGGCTCCTCTCTGCCAGATGGGGCTCACACCTCTACCATCTTGGAGCTGAAAGCTGCCCTGGGTCCAGTGAGGTGGGGGCGCCTGTTTCCTCTTGCTGAGGAGCCCATCGTTCACAAGCACCAGCAGCCAGCGCTGCTGCTTTTAGGAGGATTAACAAATACAGAAAGCCTATTTAAGACCAGCTGGCTTGGGTGGTGACCTCCTGATGCTATCTATGCTCATGCTAATTGTCAGAGTTGGAAACTCCATGGCAAGTCCCAAAGCTGTGTGCGTTAAGCCAAGCTTTGCTTGCTTTATCCGAGATCCTAGAAGTCATCCTTGTGCTCAGAGGTGTGAGGAGAATTGCAGACCATAAATAAGCTTAACAACTCTTGAACTGAACGTAGTTAAAAAATAGAAACGTAAAATAATTGCTGTATGTCTGCAGAAATAGTTTAGCAAAACCTGGTCAAAACCTGGTTTAGCATTACAATGTCTTGTTAAAGCCTTCCAGTAGTTGCTTCTTTAATGTGACTGTTTATTTTTTTAAATCTTTAAATGATATAGTAAATTTAATCTATAATCTTAAAATTAGCAATTTATCTCTAAAGTTTTAAGCAATTCAATAACCTGCAATAGTCTAAAAGGAACTTAGCAGCTAGTACAGAGTGTTTTCTTCCTGACAGAAGGAATTGGAAAAACCATGGTTGTGAGGCAGATGTGTGGAGAAGGGACTGCAGGTCACCGCTGCAGCATAAAGGAGTGTGCTGCAGAACACTTCAGTTTGGAACTGTTTGTTAATGAATAGGTGTAATATATTGCTGAGTCAGATATGGGTGATAATATTTTTAATCTCTTTCAGATAATCACAGCAAATCCCTGGAACATGATTGCTCTTCTTTGTGGTATCTTCTTGGCTCTGTTTAAGGCAGCAGACTTTGCTAAGTTAAGTGTTAAGTGGATGATCAAAATCCGAAAGAGACATCTGAAGAAGAGGAGTCAAGTAATGAACCACATAAACTGAGACTAAGTCTGGCTTTTAACTATTCATAGCAGAAGGGATAGAAAATAACTGGAATAAACTTCAATCAGCAACACAGCAGCTGAAGATGCAAACAGGTATGTTTTCTTCCAGAAAAACGATGGCTGGAGGACCAGCCTAGTGAACAGGCCTTTAAACTTCAGAAAGGAGCTAACTCTAGGACAGGTCTAACAAACTCATGCTTTTCTACTCCAAATTTAACAAGCTTACCTCAATATATGGGGGGAGCAAGAGAGAAGGAGAAAATTCAGCAATGGTCCAAAAGTCAACACTGCAGTATTTCTAAAAAAACCAATGGACAGTGTTTGAATGCTGCTTAGAACAGGAGCCCATTTACTATCTGCGTGAGCTATGACCTGCCCCTGCTACTGTACCGCAGTCCCTTCCTTGGCTGCCTTTAGTGGAAGGTAAAGCACTCAACAAACAGTCTGGCCTCCCCTCTCCAAAGTATGGTTTAAAACAAAATACACTGGAATTCTCTTGTGTGTCATTTTTTAAGTTAAAATATAGTGACTTTAATATTAAAAAATACTTCAAATAAGAGATTGTGTATGTTCTTTGAAAATACCTGCTCTCAGATTCAGCTGGAGCTCTACAAGAGGTCATGCAGGCAGGAGTATTACAGCAAGAAGATAAGGTGAAAAACAAGAATATATTCTTCCTCAGCCCAACTCAAAGTAAACTCAAGCAACTCAAGACCTGGGCAAGACAGAGTTCAAAGCTGCTCTTAGGCTGTTGCTGTTCCCTTGTGCCTCTTCTTCCCTAGTCTTTGCTCAGGAAGTAAAAAATAGTCTTTCCTCAGCCTAGCATTTAAATGTGATTCTCTATTCTATAGAGAATGAGTGCTAACGAACCACGCTGTGGTGGTGTAGTCTTTTTCTTCCTTATAAGTCCCTTATTAGTCTAGATGCCTAACTCAGACTCCTGGAGGCTACAGGGCAGCAGTGCACCACTGGGTGTTTGCTGTGAAGGCTTTGGTGCAAGGAAAGGAGCCTGCCAAGTCATAGTTTGCTTCTTCCATCCTCCACTAATAGAGTAGCAGCAGCAGTAGTAGTAGTAAGCATATCAAAATGCTCTGCAGTATTTAATGTACTTTCTTTTTTTTTTCCTCTCCACTAAAGTTCCACAGTAGACACATTCAGTCACTACATCTCAGCTATCACAATCTTTTGTTTTATAAGGAAATGTTACCAGGGCAGGCCAGCTGATTCGAGCCAAGAAACCTTTCTTTTATATACCTATTTATAGGGGTGATTCTAAGAGCAAGTGTTGCACAATTTGTTTGAAATGGCTTCTGGTAGCTGCTGTGTTGTTCTTTTATTACTTACTTTTGCTCGATGTCCACATTTGTAAACTTTTTAACACCACATAACAATTACAAATGACAGCAATTTGGTTTTTGTACCATGCAAGGTGTTAGATTCCTTAACTTCCATATAATTTATTTCCTTTATACTGTAGGACAGCTGAAAATATTTTATATCTCAAATTGAGGTTTTTATTCTTCCATGGGAAAAAGGCACTAAAGGAGGTAAACTGAGGTAAACAACTTTCTACATGACCGTCGTCTCCCTTCTGTGCTGGCACATCACACCCTTGCAGGCCCTGCAGTTTTTAACGTCTGGCTTCAATTCCCATTTCCTCTGTGAAACACAGCTTGTTAGAGACAAAAATGAAGTAACAATACAAGTGTAGTAGAGTCAACTCAAACAGTGCAGCAGAGACTTTCCACCCCTAGAAACTACTTGACTAAAGTCAGCCAAGCAGTAGATAAAACAAGCCCAGGACACCTGCCTTACCACACAATCTTCCACCCTACTCAAAAAATGAAGCCCCAGTGGCCTGCACCTCCAGCACTTCTGCTGCTCAGTGACAAGCCCCAAGTTATTCAGACACATGTGCAGTTAAAAGGTTGCTAGTAAAAGCTGTTCTAATTCTCCTGGTCTTTATGAACACAAAGATGTGATAACAGCACTAAATACAAACATAAAGACTTTATTGAATGCTGCTCAATTCCCCAAAGATCTTCCATTACAAAAGTTTTCCACACAACTGCAATTTAAGAGATTGGAATGGTACTCTGATAAAAGATGTGAAAAATACTTGATCAAGTAAACAGACAAGACTTCTACTGTCAACTTTCCACCTTTAAGAAACAGACTGCATTTTCTTTAAATAAAACGAGGAACTATTTATTGACATCTTTCCCTCCTTACTAAAAAAAAAAAAAAAGTTAATCCCAGTTTTGGTCTCATTCTTCAGTCCATGAGATGCTAAAACTAATGCAGAAACATCCAAGATGGTCTCTCAGAGGCCTGCACTACTCTGCAGGGAGTCCTTGGGCTGATGAGGAGCATCATTGATGGGCTCTGTGGAGGAAGCTCCATCCTCAGCTGTAGCAGGAGGAAATCTCTAAGTAGCCCATGACTAAGAGGCAGCAAGAACAGGGTAGAGGCGCTCGCCCAAGTAGTAGGTCAGCTGCACAGACCACCCCAGCCTTCTCTCCCTCCTCTGCCTCATTCTAACATGAGCGTTGTATCATCTAAATCTGCCAGGGGCACATACCAAATATTTCAAGTTACTGGTAATGTACCTTGGTTTTATTTGAGAAAATACAGCACAACTAGAAGCCTTTTCTATCATCTTAACCAAAGTATGCAGCGATGTGAAAAGCACATATAAAACAAGGAAAAAAAATGTACATAGCAAACTATACCACCTATGTGCAACACAATCAAAAATTCAAGTCATAATTCTCACCACTCCCATAATTATTTCACTCATTAAGGATGATAATTCAGTTCTATGAAACATTGGAAGTGACAGTATATCAATAATTAGACAAATTTACAATAAGCTGTGGTAATGACATCACTTAACTGCTGTATTTAAATCCAAATCTTTACATTTGCCAGAGAAAAAAATTGGCTATTTCTATTATACTGCTGAGGTTTCTTTTGCAAATCCTTATATATTTCAAAAGGGTACAAAAAAGTATCTCTGCCAAGTAGAGGTGGCCATTTCTTTTATTTGGCACTTGCATTGTGTGCATTGAGCACGTTGTGAGTGCTGTTCTGCTTTTCTGCCATAGCCTTCTTCAGCTTCAACTCCTCCAGCTTTCTCCACAACTCTTCACGTTCCAATTCCTTCTTTTTCTCTCTGTGGAAAAGAGTGAAGTATCAGTTTCAGATGCATTTTATGTGCAATGTGGAGACACAGTTACTTAACAACTGTGACTTATATCTAGTAATTCCTCTTGTTTTTCTCCAAAGCTATTTTTAGAGGCAATTGCAGTTTATTAAAAAGCGAATGCACAAAATGGTAATGGTTAGTGTAAAGCTGTAACTTTGCTCCAGCAAACTCAGACAACTGCTGCAGCGTAGCTTTGGACTCCAATTCTAAGGAGGTTGTTTACCACATGCAAACAAATTAAGGGACTGAGCATCTTTGGAGGAGAAAAGCACAACTATGGAAAGGAGACTTGAGCATGAGGACAACGTGCACCCTGCCTCCCTTACTCCAGCAGTATTGCTTAGTATGTTAGTAGGATAAGGGAGAGGTTTTAGCTGGGCTATGAAATATTCTCCAGCTCAGCTTTCTTCAGACAACACTCCCTGAAGCAGCAGAGCCAGCACCCGGCAGCCCCTCGCAGCAGCAGCAGCTGAGCCCACCTTTCCCCACACAGGAGAGCACTGCTCCCTGGCCAGGCAGGATGAGGAGCCAGGGCCATCCTGCCACCTCCCGGGGCATCAGCTCCCACCACACCACTGACACACACCTGCATGGGTGCTTTTTACTCAAGTGCCAGCCAGCAGCAAATGTGTGATGAGCAGTTCCATTACAGAACCCCAGAGCCACCATAGTTAAGTTTAGTTTCTTTTCAGTGGGCACACATTTTTAGATGCATATTCATCAACACACATTTGGAAGAAAAATCAGTTACCTTTGCCTTTCTGCTTTATATGAGCTTGTAAGTTCATCAAAAAGCTTGCCATTCATTTCCATCAGGGTTTTCAGCACATTATATACCAATGCCACAATCGTTCTAGAACAGAAGGAACACAACCATTAGAATTACTCAACACAAAATTAGCTTCAGTAAATAAGCATTCAATTTCTTCTTTGAATGCTCAGCTTCTTATTTAAAATACTACTGTAAGGTCAGTGACTTTCTCAACCAAAATCCTTTACTATCCTTTCCTCTGTAAATTAACAAAATGCATATTTAAGCGTTTTTTTGAAATGACTATTTAAATTTCTGACTCTTGTAATTGCACAGGATATAATTATTAGTACTGTGTCTGTACTATAAAGCCATTCAATTATATTAACATTTAATAAACTCGGTTTTAACAACAATTTTGCAATATTTGAGCAATGAAATTTCAGAGTCTAGAAAAATAAACTTATGGCTTCAGGACTGGGCAAAAGAATGCAGCAGAGGAACCACAGGCACATGGTTTAATACAGCTACTAAAAGCTCTTCCAGAAGTGTTTCTGGGCAGCAGATAGTTTTGCTGCATATGCCCCATCAGAGAACTGAATTGAGAACATCAGGCAATGGTTTCTAGTGCCTTAGTTTCCTTAAGAAACTGAACAGCTTGAGCAATACTGGCTGTTTCTTAAATGGCCACATCAGCTATTACTCTTCTTTTTGTGAAGGCATTCATATTTCAGTAAGTTACCTTAAATATTATATTGTTTATCTCCTTTAAGCCCACTCATAATTACACAAAGAAATGTAAAAATAGCAGTAAAAACAAACATTTAAAAGGTGCCTATCATTAAGCTTATTGCTAATAAAAAACCCCCTGTCTTCCCCATCTTTCCCCTCACTAGCAGTTCACCTTCACACAGCAGTATGGAGTGTAAGGTTGTAGAAGAGGGGTGTGGTACAGTCTTGTGACCTTGAAAAATGAGTGAAAGGAAAATCTAAGGGAGTAACCAGAGGAGAAGGTTTGCCTTTTCAGGACACTTTGTGCATTGTGGCACTAGGAGATCCCCCAAGTATCCATCACAAGCCCCGTGCTCTCTCAAAAGGCACAAAAGCTTGTTGGGGGTTTTGGTTTTCTGAGAGTGAGTAGTTAAGTCCACATCAGACAGCTGGATGGACATAAGCATGTTTCTCTGCCCTCCAAAACAGATCAAAACCAAAAGGTTAGACCTTCCCCAAAGTTCCTGGTCCTCAAGGTACAGTTACCCTGTGTCTTTCACTTCATAAAGAGCAACTCTGTCTGCAGCTCGGGACGTCCTTCAGATTTGCTGAGGTCCTAAGTACTGTTAATGCTCCAAGAACTCGTTCTCCAAAATTTATATTCAGTCTCAGCTGATACATTTGCAACTAGACACACCATCTAGATAATTTCAGAATAATGTCAGAGCCTCTATTAAGACAGAGCATCTGATTTACTTCAAAGTTGTGGGAAGCTCCTGCCTACGCTGGATTTTGCCTGTATGAGCTTTACATTCTGCAAGCTGACTTGCAACTCAATTCAGGATGCTGGACACACGTAAACTTTGCTTTTCAGTACTTCAATGTAATTACTACTTCTTTCAAATGATATAAAAATACTAACATTTAACTTGTGGCATTAAATAGGACATGAAGTAGTCACTCATTTCTCATTCCTACCATTCTTTATAGGGTAGGCAACTGCTCTCCTTCCATAGTATCTTTTCCCCTTCTTACCTCACTGGGCAGCAATAACTGCTTACAAAGACACTGACAGAATTTTGTTCATCTAAAGTGGTAAAGGACAGCAAAGCATAAACATGGCAGAAGCATCGCTTGGAAATGGTTTTGGTCTAAGTACTATTAATTTGCTTTTTTAATTAACACATAAGATCACATGTGATTACAGTATCGAGACCATCATCCTGTTTTCTCATCCTGAATTCCAGTTCTCCATCAGCAATGCAGAACGGTGAAAGCATGATATAGGTGAAAATGACATCCATTTTAGCACCCATATCTCATTGATTTCATCCAATTTAGGTAAAAACAAAATCACATTTACAAGCTTACAATCCAAACCTGAAACAGTGGACAATTTATTTATAGTACACAGATAAAGTTAAACATTACATACGGATTCCAGTGTTCTTTGGAGATCTTGTATAAACTGCCAAACATAATTGGTAGAATTTTATCAATGTTCTCTTCAATCAGACTGAGAATATATTCATTATTCCAGAAGTACAAAGCTCTTTCTGCAACCTGAAACACAAAGTTTAGGGGTCAAGAGCCACAAAATAAATTACTACAAGTTGGGGTTTTTAAAATATATATATATATTTTTTTTTTACCTGAAAATGTGAACTTGACACACACTTGGATATTTGCTTAAATAAAGGCTCTTCTATTTTTTTGAATTGTGTCGGTTCTATTACATCTAAGATTTCTTCAATTTCACCTAAAAACATTACCTGTTTGTATAAAAGAAACGTACCAAAAAGTATGAGAATGTTTTATCTCGCCATTGTAAACAGAAGCAAACAAAGTACAGCTTATGCATTAGTCATGAATCCCGCAAAGAGCACGGTACGTAATTACAATGCATTAGACAGCCACGGGGTTTTTGCAGCTGGAAAGAAGTCAATCATCAGTTTCAGCTGCCAGGTTACCGCTCTCATCTTGGATTTCTTCTTTTGTGTAATTGTTCTAAACACTTCACAGAGCTGCTTCTGCACAATATGGTTTTTTTACAGTTAAAAAACCGCTAGAACATTTTATTTCTTCAGGAATGGCTGCAGAGGTGACCATTATCTGAGATCTCCAAAGTAGCTTTTGAAGTGATAAATAGTTAAGTCCTGTTTTAAATTACAACCAGCAGAACACTAGGCAGGTGGCACAGAAAAATTCAACACCACTTGCAAGCAGAGACAACAGTGTTCAGGGACCCCACTTTTAAAGATCTCTCTGGGGCCAGGATAAGTCAAACTCCTGATTTTTATACAAATTCTAACTATATAGCAGAAAAAATAAATTAATTTCCCAAGACCACTTAAAGTTATTTTTATACTACAGAAAAAGAATGTATATATGCTTTACCAGACACTTACTTGGTATCTGAAATGCTAAGTCTGTGCCACATTGCAGATGACTACCTCCTAACCTGGTCTATATGGACTAAAATACTTCTCACCTTGGAAAACTATTTCTCTATACAATAAGAAGGCAACTTTTAACCCAACTCTAACATAGTAACACCACAGTAAGAACATACATATAAAGCAATGGCATTTAGTTGCATGACAAAGATGAGCACCTCAAGAAGCTTCAAGAACTGCAAGTTTTCTGCAAGATGTCTGGAAAAGCACAGCAGAGGTACGGTATAGCAACCTGCCACACCACATTTTACATCACAGCAGATGCCAGAAACGAGACAAAACCAACCTCTTTCTGACTGCAAGTTTTTGGCCAAAATTTGAGCAGTCCTCTGATTACCTGCATGAAAAATACAAAGAAGTTAAAGCAGAACAAGTTCCTATTACGTATTTGATAAGATTTAAAAAAATATATATTTAAAAAATAGTAGTTTTCATTGAACCTCTGGTTAAGGAAAGTCAAACTAAATACAGCTAAATGCAGTCCACTGAAAAATACTGTGCTGTCTCATTTAAATATTTATCCTGTTTAGGTTATCAGCATCATTTAGACCTTTATCACATCACAAGTCTTTGATTATCCGTTCACACTCCGCTCCCATCCCAGCACATACAGTAATTGATAGGTTGTGGATAACATAAAAGTGTCGCAAAATGAAGTTAATTCCCCCGTAGCTAGATTTCCCAGAATATTTTTTGTCTTCTTCTCATCCATACTTGGGGAGCACCTGTCTTGGTGTCAAGGTTTGAAGCCCCAGAGCAAGTGATACACACTGACTGCACAAACAGGGCTATACAGAGGAGTCATGGCCTCTACCACTTCCCTCCTTCTTCTAGAATTTGAAATGTTAAAGACGGGAAAATAAAAAAAGATGAGAGAAAATATATTCCAGTATCTACACTGGAAACTATCTTACACAAGACTGGAAGAAAAACCTTTGAGAAACTTAATTAGAAAGTCCAGCCCCACGGGAGGAAGGGGGGAACACACAACAAACAAAGGCTGGAGGCCTGTTTCGTAGAAACAAACATCTGACATGGCATCAAAATTACAAAATTAATGCTGCTAAAGAAAAAAAAAAAAAAGAAGCTGTAACTTGCATGTGTTGGAAACAGAAACATACTCAGAGCCTTATAAACTTCCATTCTGAGGAAAGGACTTCTATTTTTATGATACAACAGCACCTAACGGATCACATCCAGCTGTAAAACTTACTCAACTATTTGAATACCTTCCACGTTTGATTTTGCAGCTTCCCAGCTGGCAACTGGGAAAAACTGTGTCCTATCAAAAGTGACTTTCCAGAGAAAAAGTTAATGTGATTTTAAGTGCCCACAAGTCTTTATCCCGGGGTACACACACATCCTGCTTCTACAAAACTGAATGTCACTTCAAATGACACTGAGCAAACGCAGAAACCTCAGGCAGCTGGTGAAGTCCTACGCTCAAATCCACAAAAAGAAAGCAAGTTAGATGGACAGAACAGATCCCTCACAGATCCTCGACCATACGGTTCCACCTAACTGGCCGAGAGCTACAGACCACTGAAATACTAACACCATCATCTAAGGCGTGATGAAGGAGCAGGGGGTCTGGTCAGCCTGCCCTGGTGACAGAGGCAGAGCTCCCCCAGTACTGACCTGGCCGCCTTCCTGCCTCCACGGACCCAGCAGACGTGCTGGGGCAGACAGCACAGTGACCGGGGAAAGAAACTTTGAGCTCCCCCATTTCAGTGCAATGACCTGATCTGTCAGTCCTTCACTCACCTGCTTCTCCACCCTCAAGGAGTCACACTTGCATGAATCACAGCATGTTAGGGATTGGAAGGGAC